CCATTCATCACAAAGATCTCCACCGACAAGGTCAACTGGAAAAAGACAACTGATATGCCATCTGGTTGTTGGAGCAAGGGCCACCTCACATCCAACTTCTTGCTGTGGATCGAATATTTTTTGGGCCAGCAAGCAAATCTACCTTTTGGGCCGCAGTTTTGCTGCCACCAAGCATTTGAACCGAGCTATCCGCATGCTCTACCACTGTGATGCTTTTCTTGACCAAGATGTGGCCCAGTTCATTAGCTCTGACTTGCGTAGCTTTCTTGCGCACTACCGGCATCTGGCCAGGGACAGCCACTCTGCTGGTCGCAGACTATTCGCACTAGTGCCGAAACTACATTCACTGGATCATTTTGCTGTGAGGCTGGACAAACAAAGTGCTTCTACAGGGATTGCCGAAAATCCATTGCTGGCAGCATGTCAGCAAGATGAAGACTTCGTTGGCAAGCCCAGCCGGTTGAGCCGGCGAGTTTCGATTCGCTCCGTGGCCGAGCGGACTATGTCCAGGTATGTGGTGGCTGCTAGAAGTGCTTGGGTTCAAGCTGGGATGTTGGCAGACCCCAAGTGAAACAAAACAAGTTTCCAGTCTGACATCATTTTTGAGGACCCGTCCCCTTGTAGATTTGGAAACAAAGACATGGCCCTGAGTGAGCGTTTGTCGATTCCCGACCCTGCCAAAATCACAGGGCCCCCGGCCAACCAAAGCGCGGCAGCGCCGTCCGTGGAAAAGATGGTCAAGGCGGCTGGCTCTATGGCGTGATGAGGTTGGGGAGCTCCAAAAACATGTTGAGTAGACAATTGAAACACGATTTGGGGGAACCCTTCACCCACCAAAAGAGCTGCCCGTTTTTCTGGGGTAATCCTACCTTGTTGTTGGCACTCGCAGGATCCATTGTCTAGCTCGCAGGGCCATTCTGGGGCAAGCAGAAGCGAGCAACATTCAAGTTTCTTTCAGCTCAGCCCTCATCTTTGCAAAGGAGCGCCTTCATAACAATTAACGTCAAACCAGTGACCCATGTCAAGAGTTTCCATCAACTCAGCCCATTGAGTTGGAAAGGAGCTGTGTAGGATCCTGTGTGTTTGCTTGAGGCTCGAACAGTTTTTAGGTTGCAGCTGCGGCGGAAACCGAGGCTTTGGAACAGGGATATGCAAAACTCATTAAACACATGGCTTCCAAGTTTGCGGCCACGTTGGTGGTATAAAGGTCGGCTTTTGGCCCCCCATTTCAAAAGCTTCTATGTCGTTTTTGGGACATCTGGCATTGAAGTCGGCAGTTTTTGGTCGACACGTACTGCCTGTTGGTCGAGCGCCTTGAGTAAGCAACCGCGGCGCGAGCGCGCCGGCGACAACCCTTTTTAAAAGTCCAAAGCAACCCTCCAATGTGGCATTTGTTGTTTTCGAGAAAGCCCGTCAAACCCGAAATCACAGTTTGTGCGGAAAACGGCCCAAACCAAACGCACAACACATTTGCCCTTTGGTGCTGTGTGATCTTGCATGCACACATGGTAGGTGTATACACGCGTGTCTTTGATTCATGTGCACTAATCACAACTAATACGTATATATACACATTATGTGCAAGTAAATCGTAAACACGCTCCCGCGCCCCCCCCCCCATGGCACACTATGGGTTTGGCTCAAATGTTGGCAAAGCGGCGCTTTCAAAGCGAACCTTGCCAAGCAACGCCTTTTCACTTGAGCTTGTCTGTGTGGCACGCTGGCGTCTCAGAAGTGAAAAACCTGGTTGTTTTAAGAAAACCAGTTTTTTCATTTATACCCTAAAAAAAGACGGAAACGGGCTTAGCAGGAAGTTGCCAAGCCCCAATAATGAGGGCGAATTTTATGTTGACGATCGCGTCAAATACATGGACAAGCGCCATGTTGTTGTGGCCGTTGACCTAAAGTGGATGGCCATCGAGGAAGCCGCCGGCATCTATAAAACCCGACGCGGTTTGATTGCTGTGCGAGAGGAGATACATGCGCCCTTCTGGCGCGCATGCTATCTGCACCAGGAAGGGGATGTGATATACATCCGTCCCTGGGCGGTCCGAGAGGTGAATGTCCAGGGACCGCGGAGAGGGGTGTCATTTTCATGGGACAAAGCTCCCATGCATGACTATTGGTGCCCTCGGTGCGCGCATTTGAACATGTATGGCACCATTCTATGCAATGGTTGCCATCTGCCGATTTTCTATCGAGAGTGGGTGCCAGGCACCATCCGCTCCCAAGTTAGGAGAGGGCAACCAGTCTGGTTGGACGGACTCAAGGCAGTCCGTGCCAACAGCTGGTATGAAGGGGAGACTGACGTGTGGGCTCCTCTCATGGCGTCGGTAAACCCGATCCGCGAGGTAGTCAGCTGTATGATCTCCGGTTTGCGCTGTGCGCCTCACCTTGTGCACAATCCCAATGCGGATACCGCGCAGGTTGCGTTTCAGGAGGTTGTGAAAGTCACCTCAAAGGACACTCACGCTTGTGTGCGTGCGAGTGATGAGGCTCTCGAGCGGTGGGTAGCGAAACAGCTGCTCATCGAGGAGAGCAATACTGGCGTCCCAATTCCCGACAATATGTCTGTCATGACATATTTGGTCGAGCACCCGCAACAGGCGGCGCAATGGGGTCGTCATATGACGAGAAAGGGCAGTCTAAATTCAGCATTTGCTCTTTACCTCTCTGTGCATATTTATGATGCCTACCGCATCGGAATTGAGGACGGATATTTGGTTCCGCTGTATGGCCTAGGCGCCTCACGTGCGGACATTATAATGTCATTGGTACAGGCAGAGCGACGCCTCTCGGACTTCAATAGTGAGGACCCAAGTTTTGATGCCTCCACAGTTCTTGATTTGAGTATCGACTCTCTGCGGGCCGGTGGTGGATCCATCACGGCCCCGATTGAGTATGCTGAGGCATACATTTATGTCGAGAACAACAAGGTTGACATGGTCCCCGCTGCACAGCGCGACGGCCAAAGCGCCATTGTCTTTGCTGACCCGCCGACTGGGAAGCACCATAGGCGGGCAGCCACTCCTAGGGGAGATCATCGGTCTGCTACCCCGCGACCTGAATCCAGGTCAAAGGGGGATCAGCAAAAGGGCAAAGCCCCTGCGCAATCCTGGCCCAAGGGTGGAGGTCACAAGGGTGACCAGTTTCCAGGAAAGGGTCACAAGGGTGATCAGTACAAAGGCAAGGGTGGCCAATACGGCTACCAACAAGGGCAGTTCGGTCGTGGCGGATCCGCCAGATCGAGAACTCCCACTGGCGGGCATCAGCCTGATGCTCGTGGGTCGGGGTACAAGGGTGCACAGGCTGGCCCTTTCCCTTTCCCGAGTCCGATGTATCCCACTTTCCCAATGGGAGGATACATGCATCAGCCCATGGCTGGCATGATGCCACAAATGTGGCCTGGCGCAATGCCACAGGGTTGGCAGCCGCATATGCAGGGTGATCCCCGCGAGTTCGAGAATCCGAACTCGCCGCATACCCCTACATGGGGTGACGATGACGAGTTGGCCGAGACAGTGCCTCCTCCCCCTGGGGACTGGAATGTCAGCAAGGGGAAGGGAAGGCACGGCGGCGGACGACATCGGTAATACCTGAAGTCTGTCTGTGTGTTTTACATAACTGCGCCAACGCGCGCATGCTTTCATTTCGGAATTCACAAGATGGACTATGCTCCTTGTCGTATTTCGTTGTCTAGGCTATTCGCCATTTTAGAATTCATCTGCATGCGTGGCTGTGCGCTATTCGCGCAAGCTGCGATTACCTGTCAGGTGTGCGTCGCCACAGCAAGGCAGTCACCCTCGGCGGCGTCTATAGCCGCTGGTGGTCTGAATCCTCCTGCACCGCTGCTGCTGCTGGTGATGGTGCTCATCAAGGTGCCGTGGTGAGGATCACGGATGCCCCGCACCGCTGCCGGTGATGTCCTACTCGGACCTAGACCGCGGATCGCTGCTGGTGGTATCCATGGCGATTGTCCTCGAATGATCGCGCGCCTAGACGGTGCTAATTTATAACCAAGGCTCATTGGTCTACGCACCATGTTTCAACCGACTGGCCAATGCGCCTAATCTGATAATTAAAATTAAATCCACTTGAATCGAATGATTCAATGTGGTTGCAATGCAAATGACAGTTCTTTGGCTTCATGCCGGCCATTCCGAAGTTGATCCTTTGTTCTTTTCTCTTGTTGCTTTCTCTTGTTTGATTTGGCTACCGGTGCGAATCCGCCTCATACCCGTAATTCGGGGTGGTGGCGGGATCCGGGCGCCAATGAGTGCCCGGGTATGGGGTCGCGAACCCTGGTAGCCTAATCGGCTTTGTTTGTCTTGTTTGTTGCATTTCAACTTCAATATGGCCAATGCGCCCTTCCAAATTCACTCCTTCTCTTTGTACAGGCGAGGGGGGTGTTTTTGGGGGCATGTAGTTTTATCGCAACATGTTTCAACGCCACGGCCAATGCGCCGTTTGGCTCAAGTTTTCCCTCTGGCAAACCCACACTTGCCATACTCGTCACGGCGCCTTTCAACGGCGCGGCGCCCATCATCGCGCAAAAGGTGCGCGTTGCCGGGAGGCCGCGGTTGGGGGCTTGGTCGTGGAGGTGGGTCAGGACACGGGTTTGGGAGGGTGCTGCATTTGGTTTGCTTTGCTTGCTCGCTGCGCTGCATTGTTTGCCTGCCTGGTTTGCTGCTTTGTGCTTGCTTTCGGTTGTCTCTGCCCTTGCTGGGTTCATTCATCTTTTGGTTAAAGGCACCCTGTTTTGGTTCGTTTGTTGTGCCAGCCGAGGGCACCGCTTTGCCCTTGAAACTGGGGGACTTAAACAATCTCTTCTTGTTGGTGGGATTGGGCCTGTTTATTCTCTCCCGAAACTCTGTTTCAAACCCTTTCGCAGTTTTAAAGGAAATCCAAACAGAAAGTTAAACATAATGTTTGGTGGTAAAGGAACGCCAAACAGAAAACCGCCCAAATGGGGGGGGACGCCCTATTCGGATCTGCGGAAGGCTTCGTGGTGGGCTTCAAGGGCTCGAAGATCTTCTGCCTGCGCTTCGGCCGAACCCACCTTTTGACCCGTTTCATGTTGGTCTATTCCTAAGTGGCCCCAAAAGGTGAGCTTTAAAAGGACCCAACAGGTTTTGAGATTTTGGTCTTTCTTGTTTTCTGGGTCCTTTGGGCAACTGAGAGAATGGTGACCCCAGATTAAGAAACCCGACCAATGAATAGCGGGTGTTCGGACCCTCCAAAACTGATGATTCCCCGCGAAACCCAGAAACCGCCATCTTTTCATATATTGGGGTTGATTGATCTGGGATTAGCATTAAAGGGAAGATAAGGCACACCCACCAAATTCGTCAGCGGGGAATGGGGGGAGGCTTTTCACCAATTCCAATTCTAGTTGCTATTAATTATTGAGCGTCGTTTTATTTTGCCCACAGGCTAAAGAAGTAGGGAGAGGGACATCACTCTTGAAACGTGCACCTCGCGCGGAAGCGCACGCGGAAGGCTTCGCAAAAATAATTTCTTGCGCGGAAGGTTTGTGGAAGCTTTGTGGTTTGATATGAGCTGCTTCCGTGTGTGCCTTGGAAAAGCAGGCCGGGAGAAGCGATTACAGTAGAAGCAGAAAGGTGTTTCTGCATATACAAGAAGCGGAACGCTTAGTAGAAAAGCGGTCACCATCAGGAAGCCAAGAGGACCAAACAGCCGGCGGATTTCTCGAAAGGTTTGCGGCAGGTTCGCCGAAGCTCCGCGCGCGCGGAAGAGCGGCCCCGTGAAGGAAAGTGTCCACGTAGCAGAACAATGGATCCCAAGCCTACCTGCACCAACACAGGCGGAACAATAATACCTTCCGTACTTTCTTAAACTGGTTTTCCCTTCTGCGCCACCCGCGGAAGCAAGTGTGCATAGCTTGGTGGATCCCAGCCATTTGGCCTTTGAGCTTTTTGGGGTATAGTGGGTTTCCAGTTCACCCGCTAAAAGGTAAAGGGATCTGAGCACGGCCCAGCTAAGGCATTACATTTCCATGCAGACCATCGATGTGCCACAGAGCGCATCGCTGTACAGATATATGGAGAAGAAGGACGGGTGCAATGGGAATGTTGAGCAACTTGCACCCCATCGAATCGTGGGTGTTTGGAGCATTATGTATGGTAAGTAGTTTCATGATGCATAATACACATATTATATATATATATATATTAATATGTTTAGTGCTCAAGAAGCATGGTTCAGTTTATGAATTTATTAGCAACTATTACATGTAATGCAGTATGTATGTATATATGTGTATATATATATATATATGCTGAGGGTCCTACGTCGGCCGACGGCCGTCCGCCAGTCCGCCCACCCACACCCGCAAAGCTTGGCGCCGACTTGAACTTGACTGCTGCAGGCCAGCCTGGAATTTTGCAAGGCCCACACGCTTTCACGGACGCCTAGTCAGGTGGGCAGAAGCCAGCACTTAGACTTTCTTCCACATAGTGTACGCTACTGCCCCGCCGAACCCGCATGACGACGCTACCTCGACATGGCGGCGCAGTGCACTGTGTGCGCTATCACCCCACCCGTCCACAGCCCGCCCCCAACCTCCCCTCCCCCCCACCCCCTGCAGAGGTCATGGTTGAGCGACGGCGAATATAGGCTCCTCAAGATGTATACATAATATGTATATGTATATAACATGTCAAGTAGAGATGGATGTTATCACTTTGTGATTTATTGTGTGTATTCGACTTGCGTGTTTTAGCTTTGGCACTTGAGTTTTTTGGAGCTTGCGTTAAGACATTCCAAGACATTCAAAGCGATACTGAAAGCAGCCCCCCGAGTGGCAAAGATCTAACGGGGAGGAAGCCGGCCGGAAGTTCGTGCTGACTCTGAGTGCAAATTTGTTTTTATGCGACCATGCGGTTTGTTTCCACGGATCGCCCGTTTTGCCGGCCGCGTGGAACCCCAAGCGATGGGAATCTTGGGTTTTTGTTGGCCAGGACTTCGAGACGGCCTACCGAGTGGGCTGCCTTGGGGTCACCGAGGCAAAGCAACCCTCGCTGCGAGTTTTTGGGCCAAATCGAGCGCTTTCTGTTCTTGCATTTGTTTAAGAATATGTTTAACATGTTTAGTGATTTTCCCTTGTTGGTTATAAAAGGAATAACTCACTACTGTAAATATTTTTTCCAGGGGGCGTAAGCAAATGGAAGTGTTGGTCCAAGCCCATCCGGACTTGGGACCTGAAAAGGAGAGGCAAAAATCCTGGGAGACATGTTCCTGTTGTGAGGCTAGTTGGCGTTTTGACCATCGGTTCAGGAATGCAAAGATGATGTGCCAAGGAAGACACTGAAAGGGAAGCTACAATCTAAGCCCTGAACGTGGTTTGAAACCAGTTCCATCACGGCCTATGGTTTGAAAAGGAAGCAACATGTTTGGCCTATCTCTCAGAGGTTTGGGGAGGACACGGAAAAGGATGTTACACTCGAGGCCTGGAACCCCATGGTTTGAAACCTGTTCCACCTGAGCCGTTCAGCTGCTAGGCGGATTGGCGGCTCTTGGCGCTGGATGCCTTGCAGAACCTTCGCTTCGACATCGCGCGGAAGGCGCGCTGGGGATTTGTTTGGCTTGGCAATCGGAAGGTCAGGTTTTGGCCACCAAACACGTGGCTGGGGTAGACTTAGGATACATTTTTACATTTTACCCGTGACTCCGTGTGAAGCAAACAATAAAATATACCTTCTCTAAGTGGGCCTAACTCTAATTATGATGGGTCCTTGAAGGCATCCTGGAAGACTACCTGAGTATTGGGCAGTATTCAGTATTGAGCAATGCTACTTTTGAACTGGGAACGAGAGTTCCTGAATTGCAGAAGGGGACTTAAAAATTGGATCGCAAAAGGACATGTTGCACGATTTCGTATATATGAGGTTCCATGAAAGTTGACGAGGTGTCCAATGAGATTGAGGGATTTTCGAATCAGATTGACATGGTCCCCCGGAAACTTGCCCTAAGATCAGTTCCTTTTCCGTGACACGCTTTAGCCAACCATCATGGAATTGCCATTCTTGGGCAGGGGCGTATCGCAAAATTTGGAGCCCATTTGTAGGATTAGTTGGACTCAACGCCTACCAACCTATCGTTTTGTGTGTCTGCGTACGCACGTGCACGTGTGTGTGTGTGTGTGTGGCACTGGCGCGCGCGTGTCTGTGTGTGTGTGTGTGTCTGTGTCTGTGTCTGTGTCTGTGTCTGTGTCTGTGTCTGTGTCTGTGTCTGTGTCTGTGTCTGTGTCTGTGTCTGTGTCTGTGTCTGTGTCTGTGTCTGTGTCTGTGTCTGTGTCTGTGTCTGTGTCTGTGTCTGTGTCTGTGTCTGTGTCTGTGTCTGTGTCTGTGTCTGTGTCTGTGTCTGTGTCTGTGTCTGTGTCTGTGTCTGTGTCTGTGTCTGTGTCTGTGTCTGTGTCTGTGTCTGTGTCTGTGTCTGTGTCTGTGTCTGTGTCTGTGTCTGTGTCTGTGTCTGTGTCTGTGTCTGTGTCTGTGTCTGTGTCTGTGTCTGTGTCTGTGTCTGTGTCTGTGTCTGTGTCTGTGTCTGTGTCTGTGTCTGTGTCTGTGTCTGTGTCTGTGTCTGTGTCTGTGTCTGTGTCTGTGTCTGTGTCTGTGTCTGTGTCTGTGTCCGTGTCCGTGTCCGTGTCCGTGTCCGTGTCTGTGTCTGTGTCTGTGTCTGTGTCTGTGTCTGTGTCTGTGTCTGTGTCTGTGTCTGTGTCTGTGTCTGTGTGTGTTGTGCGTGTGCGTGTGCGTGTGTGTGTGTGTGCGCATGTGTGTGGTTTGTTTGTGTGTTTGTGTTTTGCCGTTTGTGATGTTGTGCTTGTTTTGTTGTGTTTGTGTGTTGGTGTGCTTGTGTCTTTGACTGATGCCGATCCATCGCTTTCCAGTCGGTGGATGAACTGCTCCCAAAAGGCGCTGCACCAAGCCAAGTGAAGCCCGTGTTTGTTTTGCTTCAGGCCTTTATCCGCATTCGCGACGTGAGGCGGGCAAAGGGCTGCAATTACCCTTTTGGAAGGATTAGGGCAACTCAGATGCGGCGCATCAGCATTTGGAGTTTCAGGTTTGAATGTGATAGTTCTTAATGACCAGCAACGACACTTGCCACGAACTGTAGATTGATGCGACATCATGTTGCCCCGCTGAGCCAGCCTGTGTTACGGAATTGTCAAAAGTATCTCAAAGGGGTCAGCCACATGACCAGCATAGGAACGCACTGTTGAGAAACATCAAATTGGATGTGTTATGGGTCCAAAATATGGCCTGTGTTTCAATTGACATGCCTTGAGCTGTGGCAGCAGTTCTTGCTTGATCGTACCAGGCACTCCGTAGTTGATACCTTGGCAAGACGAGTTTTTGTTTTACTATCAAACTACGTGACAGCAGCCAGCGGCCAGCCCAAAGCACCAAGCACTCTGAACGCGAGCGGTGCGTGCTGGAGGGCGCGAAGCTCTGCTAGCAGAGCGCAGAGATCGGGCAGAGCATGAATAGAGTAAAGCAAGGATTCCTTTGCATTTTGCCAAGGGATGTTAGGACTTTACCTTTTTGCCAAGTGGGTTTTCCATTAAACCACGAAATGTTAAACTTTTAGCAGAGCAGAAAGCAACCGAGATTCGACGAAACACCCCAGCGAGACCTGTCAAACTCGCACGTGTTCAAGTATGGATGGCAAACTCAGTGCAAGTGCAGCAAGGCAGACCACTTGAGCATCTCACCATGACTACTGAAGAGACACGCAACAGACTGGAAGAGCAACTGTCCAAACGTGCCAGGTGCCACAAAGCTACTCACATGGCCAATCAGAGCCGGAGCATAAGTGCTGACCGCAACGCCTGTTGTTGTTCCTCGTAATACAGACGACCGCACAGGCCGCTTTATGCGCATGTGCGTACATACATACACAGAATATACACAATGTGTATTTGTATGTGGGTGCTGCTTCCCACTGAGAGCGAGTTGTACCTGCCAGGTACATCGACCTGTTGAATCGCATCACTCAGCAGTGCCCCGGATTTGATGTGTATCCCACAGCATTGTCCAGATCCGCCTTTTCGCGGACAAGTTGTTTCTTAAGTAGCTGGTTTGACTGGCTTCAACTATTTTGATATTTGTGTTTGAGTGCATCAACAAAAAGTTTGCTTGTGTCCCCTGTCCCAGTGCTTGCAGTTACTGATGCAGCTAACCAAAGGAAACCAACATTTACAAACCAAAGGGAAACACCCTGGTAACTTGCTACAATGGTAGCTAGGAGCCTCTATAATCTTGTAGCGGTGAGGGGAGCATGGTGCAACCCGGACTCTTGTTTGAGGTACGGGCACAAGGCCAGCCTTACCCATGACGAGGAGATGCTGGTCACCGCACAGGCAAATTATTATAGCGAAGATCTCTCTTGAACATGTTGGTATGTCTTTTTCTTGGGGGTATCTGATCCTTCTTGGGGTTTTTGAAATTTCAACTGGTAAATGTACCCTGAATATGGCCCAATGACCATGATTTCACACTGGTGTCCTTTGAACTTGGCCAGGTCCCACGCGTTTCGACAGATTTCCGCTGGGCTTTTAGCTGATGAGTTTGATGGCTCGCCTTCTTGCCCTTTGGGGTTAAATGTGTGATCCGGCTTCTCAGACTATCTCAGACTCCCTCGAGTTAGCCACACGGAGCATATGCGTTTGTTCCATACTTGAGCTTATGTACCTTTGTTGCCCAGTGGTGTTCTTTTCTTCCATCTAACCCTTGGGTAAAGGTTCCCCCTTAAACTCAACCAACAAAAAAGGGCCCTGGGCATCTGAGGTACAGTCTCTTGCTGCTTTTGTATGTCTGTATTTTCAAATGAGAGCCAAGGAAGGCATTCACTTAGCGTCTCTGGACCGCCGCACTTGACACGTCGCAGTCCACGACATAATCCGTGCCCCAGGGTGGAAGGCTCGGAGCAATACAATGCTCAAAGCAACAGCAGACTGAGTTGGCGAAGCCAACCTTCAAGCCTTTTGGTTTTCCATGTTTCGTCCATGTCAAGTGAAGATACCGGAAGGCTGTTTTTTTCAGGTCCTGAGTCTGTCGTTTTTTAGGGGACCCCTAAATTGGTTAGTCCTTTTGGTTTTCCTTTTCAACCAAAACAAGTTATCGGCTAAAAAAGACGCACCCAGCTGGGAATGGAAGCAGATTCGCTGCAACCCAGACAAGGCAACTCAAACCACAGAATGGCATGGCCATGCCACTGGCCACTTGGCCACTACCAGCCGCAATCAATGAAGCATGGCCATTGCCAGCAAGACTCCAGCAAGACTCCGGGCAAAGAGCTTCCCAACAGATTAGCAAACCAACACCAAGACAACTTGAAACAAGTTGGATTTGTGTTGCAACGTGGAAAAAACCAAGAGCTGCCGGCCAACAGACTGGTGCAGGTGTTGGCCTTCCAGGGCAAGTATGGGGAGGCGGCTCAGCACTACGGCCGTGCCCGCGCCTTCCATGCCGCCGTGGAGATGTGACCCGGCAAGACGCGGGGTATGGGGGGTGGGGCCCCAGATGGAGGGGTCAGTTCCCGGGGGCGGGGTGCAGTGGGAGTGGGGTATGTGTGTGTTGTCCGTTGGTTGGCCTTTGCTCACGCGGAGATGAAACGGTTTTTTCTTGAACAGCTTTTTGTTCCCGCCAGCTTGTGGCCCGGGTGCTCTGTCCACGCCTGGAGAAAGCTACATCGAGGTCCTTGCAGCCCTAATTTATGCTTCGCTTGCGGTGCAAGAAGCTGGCGGCGATGCTCGCGTGTGACGTTGGAATTTAAATGCTAGACCACTGAATCATGTCTCCGAGGTATGAATCGGTCTTCTGCGCAGAGGTCTACTGCTAATCACGTCGTGGTCTCCAGTTGTTTGCTTGTCCAAAACCTTTTTTGGCCGCCCAACATGCCATGAATGGCATGAAGCTGTGGTTGGCGTCTGTGAACCCTTCAAAGGCCTTTACCGCGTCATGTTTCCTGGTGGCGGGATATGGTGTAACGAGGTACACGGAGCTGCGGAAGTGGGAGGAGGCCAAGCACTGGGCGCTGCAAGGTGAGAAGGCGCGAATATGAATACTGGTTCTTTCTTTTTTTTTGGCCAGAGCTTTGCACTGGCGCGAGGTGATGTTTAAGCGGGAAAACAAAAAACCGTCTTCTGGCCCGGATGAACCTTGTGTATAGTGCCGATCTTGAGTGTTGATACTCGAACCATCCTGTTGGGGATGTCAAGTCGCGTGACAGGCTTAAAGGGCAGCTGAGTCTTGATTGGCCATGTTGCGTTTGGCGGATGTCTTGCTCCAAGGCTTTGTGAAACCAGTACATTCTTTGCATGGGGTTTACCTATATACTGTGCTAGGTGCCCGAGGAGACCATCCTTCAAACAAGAGAGCGCGGCTGCCTACCCATTATACTGGAAGCCAGGATCTGCAGTTGAGAGCCACTGCAGCTTCAAATTGACCATGTCTTAGATGATAATTTCTTCGGAACGCCAAAAGAAACAGACACAGCCTACCGCAAGTCTCGAGGTTAAAGTCGTAGACAAAGTTTGCCGGAAGTCTCGAGGGTTCGATGATGGACATCATGCTCGATTCAATCCGTTGACTTCCCATTGACCCGTAAAGCCTGCGGCAAGTTTGCTGCAAACGCTGTCGCTTCGAACGACGAAGATCCCCAAACGGCCGGATGTTTCCCCCCGAAAACGGGTCCGGTTCGGTGTGCCGAAAACCGCAGGCTGGGCCACCGAAGCCGCCGCTGCCTGACATGAGCAGTCCTGCCTTGGAGCAGGCGAGATTTTGGGGTCCTGCTGGGCGATGTGTAGGATGTGGTTTTGTTGCTTCTTTTGGGGTGGGGGCTGTTTTTGGGAGGTGGATATTGCGGGCTTTAAGGGCTTTGAGGGCTTTGGGGGCTTTGGGGGCTTTAGGGGGCTTTGGGGGCTTTGGGGGTTAGGGGGGGTTGGGGGTTTAGGGATGTTGGGCCAATGACTTGAATCTTACATAGCTCTCAAGGGCGAACATTTGTGTTGCCTGCACGTTTCGGGCTGGGGTCAGGGACAGATATTCAGCTATGGTAGGGCCAGCGGAGACATACCTGCTAATTTGGCTTTACAGTTGTATGTTGCTTCGTCGTTTGAGTCAAGCCCTTCAAAAGTTTGAGAATTTGTCTGACAAGTCAACTCGGCAGGGCAGGGTAGTGGAACACGCAGGGATGGATTGCTTTGGGAGTCGGGAAGACTTGGGGATGCCTGCCTTGACGGGAAAAGGATTTGCTCAAATGGAGCAAAGCATATCCGACCCGGGGTTCTGGAGATTGATTTGGAAAGGATATTGACACATGATGATGTCTCTCTTGATCCAAGTGACGTTGCAGTTTTCAGCTTGCTGCGCAACCCTGCAGGCATTGATGAGGCTCGCCCGGGCAAGTCAATAGTATCATTTGTTTTGGGTTCCTCCATCTCAGCACCCGAGAACTGGGTTGATGAATACACCCCTTGTTGTTTTCACATATATTGGTAAGCATGATGTCTTATGTAAGAGAGGAACCTGAGCTTTTCGGGGACACCCCCGAGTTGTCTACTCGCTTGATACCGGGCTCGACCCCAGCTCAGGGGTCGAGCCCCACTTCAAGCGACGCGCTCAGGCGCCAGCGCGCTCCATGGGCCAAGCAAATGCCTTCCCGGGCATGAGCGACGTGCCAGCACCGCCGCCGCCACCGCCGCCACCGCAGGAGTCCGGGCGTTTCTCCGACCTCCAGTGCCCGTTCCTTTTTCTTCCTGTTCTTTGGAGCTCGTTTCCCTTGACTGACAAAGGTGTCCCCCCTTTTTCTCATGGCCGCTGGAGTCCTAGGTATTTGATATTTGTTTTTTTCGTTTGGCAAGGCACCACGAATTGATCATATGAAGTGCAGGGAGGGAGCTGAGGAGGAAAACGGCATCACCCATGTCGGGTGGTGTTCTATTGGCTTCGCACATTCAGCGACTCGGATGAGGTTCTTATGGCAGCCGCCAACCGTTCAATCCTGTGTTATTCGGGGGGTCAGCCCTATTCTGGTGACGCCTCTAAAGTTTTAAAGGGCACACGAGACTCCGTGTTCTATTCGTCTCTTTCTCGCATCGCGGCCGATTTGTTTCCGCTTCTCTTGGCAAATGCCATCCATCACCTACCCCACATACCCCATGTGAGCAATATATTCCAACGTTTAACCCATTTAGAAGGCGAATGTGGTTATACAAATATTCCCTACATGGAGTGTCTGGGTATGGTTGACATGCTTTGAGGATTGCAGAAAGGTATATTTTGATGCCTCGTGGGATGTGAGTGCTTTGCGATGACCCTGCTGGACTGGAACCTTGTTTTATCAGCCCCAAAGCGTGCGACGTGAGAGTTTAGCTTGGAGGCAGATGTTGGCCTTCAAGTAGAATCCCTTGGGCGGGGATGTTTGGGACTCTTTGATTGTGGCTTGTCAGCTTCGATTGCCATGCTTTCTCTTAGGCTAGCTTGAAGGCTACCGTTCAAGATGCAGCTTATCAGCATTCTGGCCTCTGCGAGGCTTTAGCATGCATCGGCATGAGAAGCCGGCAACTTCGTACTTCCAGGGCGACGTTGTTCTGCGGGACATGAGAATTGGCCGATGTCACTGCAAACCTAAAGGGGACTACCGAGTTGCTTGATGCAGGTTCCAGCTGTATGAGCACCGCAATGTTGCGCACGACTCTTGTACACGATTCAGTGAAATCATGTCGATCTTCAACCGCTTACATGCTGCATGGCAATGAGTACGTATACATAATATAGTATAATATACAAGATAACAATATACATAGACATATGCACGATGTCCCCGCTCCCAAAAAAAACGGACCTATGAGCTCCCGGTACTGTTCGAGTTAGTCATGAGCTGATTGGTCTATCCCCGGGCCTCGACCATCACAAGTCCGCAAGACCAGCCTTCCGGACGTCTTTGTTTTGGACTTGTTCCACCAAGAGAGAACACATGTTGTAGCTGTTTGCGTGCATGTGAGCAGTAGAAACTCAGGTTGGAGCAAAGGCATCTGAGAATTGGACCAACTGTGCTGACACATTCTGGAGTTGTGTTTAGCAATTTGTTGGCGGTGGCCAAGTTGCGATGTAGCCGTTATCCATGAGTTGCTTGTTTAAATATGAGGATGTCCGTCTGAGTTGTGACTTGGCGTTGTGGGCAAAGCACATGGATATGGCGTGCCTTGTGTTAAAGGATGCTTGACTGTTTGTCGTGTTTGCCGCATTTGTGGTTGGAAAAGAGCGATTGCGGTATGAAAATAAGTAGGATTGTTTGTTCCTTTCTGGTGGGAGGCAAGCACGTGGCAGAGGTCTAAGGACAAGCCTGACTGAAGGCTCTGAGAAGTCGGTCCCAGCTGCCTGCGGCTAAACCTTGCAATTGTACCTCAGGTTGGGACCTCATCCAGGTTTTGGTTGGGTCCGTTGAAGATTTCACCTTGCTGCGTGTTGATGGTGTTTCTTCTTAAAAACCAAAAATAACCTTAAAACAAGACAACATGGATTTCAAAATGCTTCTGTGCATCCCTGTGAGACAAGTTGAGTCGCCGACATCAAAGAACATGATTCGCAGGAGGAGTCCCTGGCGCAAGGCATGGCGCTTTCGGGAGCCGATCGATCCGGACAACCAGCTAGTTGCCCGAAGCTTTGCGAGAGCAGAGCGAACCGAGGTCTGTTCAAAGTTTCTTGTGTTTATTGATATTCACAATCGGAATGTATTTTGTGTTTTCTTGGCCCGCGCATTTGGTGTTCTTTGATTATGGGTGTTGTTTGGGCCATGGTGGGCTCTCGCCAAAGACTTAGATCATTTTAGGCCGAGCGGTTATGACTAGACTCCCTTTGATAGCACCAGCGATGCTTGTCAAATCCTTGGCTCGACTGCTTCTTATCCCTGTGCACTACGAGCTGGAGGAATCAGTCGCAATGATGAAGTTCTTAGCGCTTGACGCAATGAGGAGTCCAAAAACGGAGGCGTCTTTCGATTTTCTTGGTTCCAAAGCCCCGCCGCCTCCAACGCATTGGGCGGTCTCCAAAAAGGACACAGCCCGTGCAGTCCTTGAAGGCTAACACCTCAAGCAGTCGGACTAACGGAGGGAACTCACCCCGCTCTCCAAGCCACCAACTTCCCAACCACAACTCGGTTGCTGGAAAGAAACGGAGAATCCTTTTTGTGTCCGGGGAATGAGCTTGTTGCGGGTACTCTTGTAAAGCATGTTATAAATGGAGATCAAACAAGAATAGCCTCCATTTCGTGGTCTCAGTAAGATTTCGTGGTCTACACCTCGACTCATGCACATGGAAGACCCACAGGTTACCCCGAAGCTCGCAGGCCTCATCCTCAAGCAGGCCGCCAGTTCCGAGGAGGACGGCGACCTCCGCGCCGCCGGCGAGATGTGCGCCGCCGAACGTGGATCGAATGAGTTTCCGTTTGTGTGTCTTGGCGTGGCCTTCTATACAGTGGATA